TTAGGGTTTAGGGTTTAGAAATTGTAGGGTTTACCTCTATGACACGAGAGTTTCAGGTTTGAAGATTTTAGGGTTTATTTCTATTGCACAAAGCGCGCGCAGCGCGCATTAGTGTTTAGGGTTTGAAGGTTTTAGGGTTTATCTCTGGCACGCAGCGCGCACAGCACGCATTAGGGTTTAGGGTTTGGAAGTTTTAGGGTTTATTTTATTGCATGCAGCGCGCACACCGCGGGTTTAACTTTAGGGTTTGGAAGTTGCATAACACGATGGTTTAGGGTTTGGAAATTTTAGGGTTTACTTCTCTGGGACACAGCGCGCGCACCGCGCATTAGGGTTTAGGGTTTGGAAGTTTTAGGGTTTACTTTATTGCATGCAGCGCGCGCAGTGCGCGCAGCGCGCACAGCGCGCGCAGCGCGCATAGAGTTTAGGGTTTGGAAGTTTTAGGGTTTCAAGGGTTCCAAGGTTCCAGGGTACCAGGGTCCCACGGTTTCAGGGTTCCAAGGTTTCCAGGGTTCCAAGGGTTCCAAGGGTTCCAAGGGTTCCAAGGGTTCCAAGGGTTCCAGGGTTTCAGGGTTCCAGGATCCCAGCAGGGTGCCAGGTGTGCAGGGTTGCAGGATTCCAAGGTTCCAGGGTTCCAAGGTTGCAGGGTTCCAGAATCCTTGAGGATTCCAGGGTGCCAAGGTTCCAAGGTTTCAGGGTTCCACGGTCGCAGGGTTCCAAGGTTCCAGGGTTTCAGGGTTCCAGGGTTCCGGGGTTCCAGGGTTCCGGGGTTCCAAGGTTTCAGGGTTCCAGGGTTCCAGGGTACCAGGGTACCAGGGTCCCACGGTTTCAGGGTTCCAAGGTTTCCAGGGTTCCAAGGGTTCCAAGGGTTCCAATGGTTCCAGGGTTTCAGGGTTCCAGGATCCCAGCAGGGTGCCAGGTGTGCAGGGTTGCGGGGTTCCAAGGTTCCAGGGTTCCAAGGTTGCAGGGTTCCAGAATCCTTGAGGGTTCCAGGGTGCCAAAGTTCCAAGGTTTCAGGGTTCCACGGTCGCAGGGTTTGAAGGTTCCAGGGTTTCAGTTCCGGGGTTCCAAGGTTTCAGGGTTCCAGGGTTCCAGGGTTCCAGGGTTCCGGGGTTCCAAGGTTTCAGGGTTCCAGGGTTCCAGGGTTCCAGGGTTCCGGGGTTCCGGGGTTCCAAGGTAGCAGGGTTACAGGGTTCCAGGGTTCCAGGGTTCCGGGGTTCCAAGGTTTCAGGGTTCCAGGGTTCCAGGGTTCCATTCCGGATTTTGAAGGCTGCAAGTCCCCGCGAGCCAGCCCCAGCCCTAGAGATTGAAACCCAACAGGCCCTGCTGTTGGGAATTAATTATATATACATTGTGTTAGTTTTTGTCCATCCTACATGAGATGGTGATGATAAAATGAGCCTCACTAGGAAATGTCACATTCCAAAACCACTTTCTGGTGTTTCCATGTTCGATGCTATAGGTCAGTTCTCTCGCATGTCGTCACTTCAGGGATCAAACAAACTCGGCATCATCCCTTCCCCCTGGCCTGATACTTGTGGCATGAAAGTGGGGACTTGCAAGCCCTTGGCGCACGTGGCTGGGGCAAAGAAGTGTTCTTTGCACCCGCAAAAACTATTCGCCCAAATGGATTTGGGCAACTCATCAACAAAATATCATGGACCCAACATCTTTCAGTTTTCCCTTGTCAGAATTGAAGATCCAGCACCAATTCTGAACTCAACCTGCCCATGGAGATGTCCCAAGGCTAAGCACATGGCATGTTCCAGATGCGCTTGCTCCGGATCACCTAGCACGAGCACGGCCGAGCAGCAACCCGCCAAAAACAGGTGCCATTTTTTACCGAGGATTCTAATCATCCAAGGTTTTAACAATCCTAGACTACTACTTAGACAACATGACTATCTGGCCCCAAAATCAAGAACCATCAGTCGCCTCAAGCCCTTCCCATCTTTTATGGGGATTCTCCGATGAGAATCCATCGAAGTGGATGGAAAATCCTGAAAAGTACCCCCCAATCATTTTGACAGTTGCCGGGAATTGATATCTACATCACCACTTTCGCATTACGGAGCCAATGCCGCGGCACCTGCCACATACGGGCTCACGTCAGTGAAAGCCGAACCTAGAAGTGCTTGGGGTTGGACCCGAAACACTGCAGATTCAGAAGTGGAATTTCCTCCAAAACCACCGGGCGAACATTCTTAAGTAATACTTGCGAACAATTTTTGCCCCCAATGATGCAGGGTGGTGTGGGACCCCGTGGTTCTGAATTCCTACAATCTTCAGGGAATCGAATCCCTTGGCCCCGAAACCATCACTCGAATTTAAGGTTTCAATCCAACATTTGTTGGGGTTGACCCCCCGAAATGATGGATTCGTGACCGTCGAACAAGGGAATACAATTTTGGTATCAGATTTGCATCAAGAATCCACTAGCAAATGGACCAACGACTGAAACCAGGACCTGGTCTCAAAACACTCAAGTTCAAGAGTTATTGTCACCCAAATTTTGCAGTAAACAGCATCCCAAACATGCTGCCAAAGATGCTCTATCCATTTGAGGGGTCTTGTAATCATAATTTTCCACCCACAACATCCCACAGTTCCAACTAAAAGTCCCCGGTTCTTTCCGTGTTAACTTGGACAATTCACAGTCCAAACCCGGTGTTTCCATGTTCGATGTTATAGGGGAGTTCTCTCACTTGTCGTCACTTCAGGGATCAAACAAACTCAGCATCATCCCTTCCCCCGGCCTGATACTTGTGGCATGAAAGTGGGGACTTGCAAAACCTTGTCACACTTTGCTGGGGCCAAAAAGTGCGTTTTGCATGGCAAAAATGTTTGGCCCAAATGGATTTGGGCAACTCATCAGCAAAATATCATGGACCCAACATCTTTCAGTTTGAGGATCCAGTACTCGAAACTCAACCTGGGGTCACAGTTGTCATATGACCACACGGAATTCCAAAACCCAGATTTCTAGAGCCACCCAGCCCAAGGCTAAGCACATGGCATGTGCCAGGTGCGCTTGGGCCGGATCGCCTAGCGTAGCACCAGGGCTCAACAACCCCAATGGAAGCCCTGCAGATCATGGTCTACGGAAAACTTCCGAAAATGTCCAAAGTCCAATGGGATCTGCTCAAAAAAACTGGCAGAAATTCCCAATCAGGAATTAGACTCCAGAATGTTCAAACAAAATTTTGGAATTTGTTTGGTTTGCCAACAAAGCAGGTTTCGCCAAAAACAAGTGCTAATTAGCGGTTCCCGAGAGCGCCCGAGGGTAGGGTCTTCCAAAAAAAGAAGCTGAGATAATCCGTCTTCGTTACTCATCTCTTCTATCTCTTTTCTTCTCTCTCTTCTCCTCTCCTCTCTCTCTCTCTCTCTCTCTGTCTCTCTCTCTCTCTCTCTCGGTCTGTCTGTCTGTCTGTCTGTCTGTCTGTCTATCTGTCTGTCTGTCTGTCTGGCTGTCTGTCTGTCTGTCTGTCTGTCTGTGATCTCTCTGGTTCTCTCTCGTCTGCTAATTTCTCTTCTCTCTTGAGGTGGGGGCGGTGGCCACGAACGATCACGAAACGCGACAGTTTCGCCCGAAATGAAAGTCGATCGTCAAAAACTTGTGTAAAATTGCGATTTTGACCGGCCGCGCGCAACCCTTTCGCATGAAATGAGGGTGGATCGTCAAAACCTGAGGTAAAATAATGTGTTATTATGCTGCGGCTGGTGAAGTTTCGAATAGTTTCGAAGCGGGTTCCCAAGCATAATACGACGGTTGTATGTGTGTGAAAGCGTTTGTGTGTAGAAGCGTCTGTGTGTAAAAGCGTCTGAGTGTAAAAGCGTCTGTATGTGAAAGCATCTGTGTGTAAAGGATCCTGTGTGTAAAAGCGTCTGTGTCACAGCATCATGTATGTAAAGCGTCTGTGTGTAAAAGCATCTGTGTGTAAAAGCGTCTGTGTGTGTGAAAGCGTCTGTGTGTAAAAGCGTCTGTGTGTAAAAGCATTTATGTGTGAAAAGGATGTAAAAGTAGCTGCGTGTAAAGGTGTCTGATGTATAACACTTTATATACCTTTTCTTCGATTTCCGCCCTAAAGCCTTTTCCTTGACATGATGTGATCCTTTTCTTCTCATATGAATTTCATACATCCTTTATATGTTGTCTCGTAATATACTGTCTTGATACCATTCTTCTCGCCTGAGTATGATACATCTTTAATATATTGTTTTGTGATATATTGTCTTGATATTAACACTAGAAGAAATTGTTCCTCTACGCTCTCGGGCCATCCGTCGTCTAGTTTTAAGAATCCTCGACATGAGAATCTGGCCCAAAATCAAGAACCATCAATCAAAGATGACATTCCCATTTTTTATGGGGATTCTCCGATGAGAATCCATTGAAGTGGATGGAAAATCCTGAAACATATCCCCCCCCATTTTGACGATTCCCAGGAATGGATATCGACACCGTAGCACCTGCCACATACGGGCTCACATCCGTAAAAGCCGATCCTGGAGAAGTGCTTGGGGTTGGACCCGAAACCACGACTGTCGAACAAGGGAATCATGTATCAGATATTCATAAAGAATGCCGAAAAATTGGTCGCAAATGAACCAACAACTGTTCTATCTATTCAAGGGGTCCTGTAATCATAATTTTGACCCATAACATCGCACAGCTCCAACTAGAAGTCCCCCATGTTCTTTTGATAAGACCCCTAAATTGCCATATTAACTTGGACAATTCACGTTCCAAACCCGGTGTTTCCATGTTCGATGTTATAGGGGAGTTCTCTCACATGTCGTCACTTCAGGGATCAAACAAACTCGGCATCATCCCTTCCCCCCGGCCTGATACTTGTGGCCTGAAAGTGGGGACTTGCAAGCCCTTGGCGCACGTGGCTAGGGCAAAGAAGTGCGTTTTGCATGGCAAAAATGTTTGGCCCAAACGGATTTGGGCAACTCATCAGCAAAATCCGCCCGCACCGAAGGTGCTGGGGCGTGATCGTCCGGATGGCACTCGTAAAAGGTTACAGGTTTACCTGGGGGGGGGGGGCATTTTTCGGCCAAAACCTCCTGTTTTTGATAGGTCGTGACGTTCGCCTTCAAAAAACACTGTAAAAAACAGTACGGAAGACACCTGTTCGTGAACGCGCCCGTCCAAAACCGGCAAGCGAAAAGTGAAAAAACCCTGTGTTTTTCAACTTTTTGACCTCAATTTTTTGGTTTGCAACATCTTTTTTTGCGGTTCCGCAGGTGGCCTGGCCCGGAGGCGGATTTTTGAGTTTTTGGACCCGTTTTCGGACTGATTTTCGTCGTTTTGTGATAGCAGAAACACTGGTTTTTACAGTTTTTTTCTGTTTTCTGCATGCTTGACGGCTAGCTTCAAAACTTCCAAAAACCTCGTAAATTACGCTGTTTTATGTTACGGTGTGAATGAAAACATCGTAAATACCAGTGTTTTTTGACGTTGGTTAAAAAACACTGTAAATTACAGTGTTTTTGGCCACCTGACCCTCAAAAACCATGGTATTTGCAGTGGTTTCTGCTTCTCACTGCGCAAAAACATTGTAAATAACAGCAATTTCGCCGTTTTTTCATGTTTTTCGTTATTTTTTGAACTGCGTTGGTCCGCTATACATGGCTATCAAATTCTTCGCGTTTTTTTTTTCCGACAATCAGTACTTTCGGATGTTTTTGGTCTCAATGGCCGACATCATTGGCAGTTACGAGCGGTCGCGAAGGTGTGAGAACAACATCGTTCAAACCGTGGCAGCCGCACAGGGGTTCTTGTCGCGGAGCGACGGCAATAGAAGAGAACAATGGCTGACATCATTAACAGTGTGGACCGTTCACTCGATATGTACATATATGATCTTTATATATATAGATATATCTCTGCTGTGTGAGCCCAACGATGCGGTGCGGGCGGTTGCCGTCGCGAAGCGACGTGAATATCATGGACCCAACATCTTTCAATTTGAGGAACCAGTACTCGAAACTCAACCTGGGGTCACAGTTGTCATATGACCACACGGAATTCCACAATCCAGCACAGCCAAAGGCTTAAGCGCATGGCACCTCATGATTTCGCCCAACCCTCACAAAAAATAATATACTGCGGCGCCAATCCAAAACCAGTTGATCATTTGGACTCATGAAACGTGGTCCAATCCCTCTCCCAAGACCTCCCGAGAGCCCCGAAGCCGATGGAAACTCCCCATTTCGGTCGCGAACCTTTGGAGACGCGCCAAAGGCATCGGGCACCGTCGCACCCGCCTGACTGGCCAACTGAAACATGGTTTGTTGGAGAATCACCCATTTAGTTCGATGACTGTAGCATTCCAATGCCTGTCACTGATTTCCCAGCCATGTTGGGTGAAGCCGGGGGATTATTTTGTCTGTGTTCCAATATCAAAACCATAAAAAAATATTTTAAAAAAATGCAAAAAGACTTGAATTCTGGATCCAAAAACATTACAAGACATGTTAGTTTCACCTTGAAGATCGTTGATCCAGCCACTGTGAACTGATGGCACCATGGGACCTGTCAGACCTGTCACATAGTATTGGATTCCCCATTGGTTCATCTGATTTCACCCTCTGGTAAACTGTCCCATAGCTATGGAAAGATCCACCATTTTTAATGGGAGAATCAACTATTTCTATGGCCATTTTCAATAGCAAACTGTTAGTTTACCAGAGGTTCCCATAATGGATATTAGATCTCCATTCCCATCGGATCCCGTTTCTCGATTTACCGAACTATCCGAGGTGCAGGTGTCTTGGACGCCATGGACATCGGAGACATGGCTTGACAACCCATGGATTGGAAGCCTGCGCAGCTGGTTGACCGTTAGCCCAATCTGCTGGGTTTCATCATGTGGTTATAAAGAGATTGGTTTCTTTCCGAAAGGAAGACGGTGGAATGGGGATACACTGGGAACATTGAATTGCCCAAACAGTGTGGCCACACTGAGGGATTCTTACGGTAACAGTTAAGGCCCGGTGTTCAATCGAGGTGGTATCCGGGGCGTCCGGCTCTTGTGAAATGTCCATGTGCATTTCGACTGCGCAGGCTCGCAAAAAACGAGGTCCGTGGGCGACGCGTGCGGCATTTTCCCAGTAAATTTCCACACAAAATGGCGCGTGTGAAATGTCCATGTGCGTTTCGACTGCGCAGGCTCGCACAAAACGCTGGCCGCGGGGGTGTCCTCGGTCATTTTCCCTGTAAATGTCCGTACCAAATGGCTCTTGTGATATGTCCATGTGCATTTCGACTGCGCAGGCTCGCACTCAGTGTGCTTCCCGGTCTTGGGATCGGTCTTTCTCCTCAACATCCTCCTCCTCAACATGATCATATTCCTCCTCCTCAACATCAACATCATCATCTTCCTCTCATCCTCATCACCACCATCATCATTATCATCACCATCATCATCCTCATCACCACCATCATCATCATCATCACCATCATCGTCATCATCATCGCCATCATCATCAACATCACCATCATCATCAACATCATCATCGACATCAATTAACATCATCATCATCAACATTATAATACATTATCCTTTTACTCCCCCCACACTGTTTGGGGTCTCTTGCCGGGATTTTAATGTTGTTTAGAAAAATGTTAGTAGTATTTCTGACTCTCTGGTAATCAAAGATGCCTGCGTATCTGGGTGCCACAGTCTCTCCAAAAACCCTGTCGAGTACACGGCTTCAGATTATGGACTAGAACGACTATATGGCAGAGGCCGTTGTGCCCAACGACGCAGCGACTCCTTCTGTTCGGGGCCAGCAAGTGTTTTCTGAAGTCCCCATTAAAAAATGAAGGTTTCTAGCAAAAATCATCGAAGCCTCGGGGATTTTCCAAGCCATGTTTGATAGATGGTTTCTTGATGGGTAAAAAAAGGGTATCGAAATAGGGGGCATGAACGATACATATAGATACCCTCTGGTTATGACTACCATAGCCATGGTTTTTCGATGGCCCATAGAAATAGATGGTTTACCTATTAATAGCATGGTGATTTTCCATGGCGAACTGTTAGTCATAACCAGATGGTACATATAGTGAGTATATCAGGTGTGATTAGTGAAAAGATTACCTTCGATCCGCCCAAAAAAAACGTTGGACAGTTGTGCTAGCTATTGAAATTTAATGGTTCATCATGTATTTCATTCATGTTTTCCCCCATTCTTCGGGATACCATATCAGATTTGGGGTGATTTCAGACAAACCCACATATCAGATTGTTGATTGCAAGTCGCTTTTTTAATCCATAAATGCTATTAAATCCAATTAAATCCCATTGTTTATCCCATCAAGTCGCCAGAATTTTTCATCCCAGGTTTCTGAACACGGCTACCCCGGGCTACCCCCCAGTCCGCACTTGGTTGCGCCGCAGGTGTAGCAGGATCCGGCAGGAAGTGCGCGGGAGTGTTCACGAAGAACTTGAAGGGGCCGTTCATCCCTCCACCACACGCCGCTGAGTCCAAAAAATGATGCAGAGTCATGATGCCGAAATGGAGATAGTGATGAAAATCATGACAGGGTAAATCAAGTCACAATAAGGTCACAATAAGGAGATATGATTATGATATATTATGTATGATTATGATATATTATGATGATATCACTCATAAATTATGGTTGCTTGATGATTAGTTTAGGCGATATACTGCACAATGTAATGATCATTCTCATAATCCATCTGGACCAAGTTGGTACCCCCAAGAAATCTGGGATCCAAGACCCCCAATTTTTAGTGGCTGAAAAACTGAAATCTCCTACAGTTCTGTAGAAATCCACAGAAAATCCTCATATTTTTGCTGAAATTCCCAAAAAAAAACTGCACCACCCGAGGCATCCAAAACCCCGCCTGGCAAGGGATTACCAGTGTAGAAAGCCTCGCTGCGACGGTGCAAAAACCACAACACCGGCTGGTAGGATGGTTTTCTGATTGGTACAAAGTCTGAAAACCCGCCATTCTGGTAACTACATATAAATTCATAAATAAACCCCCCAAAAAAATGGTAAAAATGCAAACAGAAACGCAGAAACATGTACACATCTAATATAGATAGATAGATAGATAGATAGATAGATATATATATATATACATACATACGTATATATATATATATATATGTAAACAAGTGGCCACGCCCTCTTCGGGCAAGCTAGACTGGCTGTGGAGTGTTGCATTGCCCAAGGCGCATTGGTGCCGATGGTGCCGTAGTGCATTGGCATCGGCACCTCAACGAAGAATTTTTAGCGCAACCAACAGGCCATTTATAGATGATTTTCCCATAAAAACCTCCATTTATAAGGGATTTTCCATGGCTATGTTAAATAACCAGATGGTAATTGGGACATGTTGATTGGAGAAACACAAAAAATCTGTGAACACAAATGAAAAAATCATTTCTGGCTGGGCACCAAACAGTCTTGTTCGTTCACTGTGTGTTTTTCACGGTCAATTCCGCGCGTTTGGCGTTTGCTCTCTAAAATCCCCATACTTATCCAATATGTGTGGTTGTATATCTCATAGTATTTCATTATATCTCATTTTATCTCATGATATCCCATTATATCATCCTATTATATCCCGCTATACCCCATTACATCCCATCCCATCATTCCACATAACGCACTATATTCCGTTATATATCTTCAGTTCTCTCGATATATCTACTGAAAAACATTCCATACCCCCCATATCTGCACCCAAATAAATGAATCCAACACTAACCAACAAGTTTCGAAGCGGTATTATATATTGGTGGGAAGAGGATTGTATGATATCCCATTCCATCATTATCATATCCCATCCCATCTTATCTCAGTATGTCCCACTATACAATATGATATCATATTTTTCCCCATATAGTTTTTGTTGTTATACATTATCAATTATCTCTCATTATTTCCCACAAAAACATGATGAATTTTCTTATCCCATCATTTCCCATGATATCTCCACAATATCTAAAAATTGGTTTGTTCCACCCGCCTGTTGTCGCACCAAAGAGGTGATCTCGCCACGTTCATTGATGAGAGGCCTGGCAATCCCGAAATCTGAAAACTATGATCTATCGATCTATCGATCTATCTAACCTATCTACCTTCATAACCTATCTACTATCTAAAACCAAAGCAAGTAAAAATACCTATCGTACCTATCTACCCCTATCTACCTATCTACCTATCTACCTATCTACATATCTACCTATCTATCTATCTACCTATCTACCTATCTACCTATCTACCTATCTACCTATTTACCTATCTACCTATCTACCTATCTACCTATCTACCTATCTACCTATCTACCTATCTACCTATCTACTTATCTACCTATCTACCTATCTACCTATCTACCTATCTACCTATCTACCTATCTACCTATCTATCTATCTATCTATCTAAATAATCATATGAATCATATATTTAGTATACCTATGATTACCTGATTACCTGTGTATATACTTAAAGAGTGATTATCTCACCATCAAAAACTAAAAAAACACATCTGTCACCATCAAAAGTTAGATTTCTCTATCAAGAAGAGTCAGATGTCACGAGCAAAAATACAAACCAAAAAAATTGGAGATCAAATCTGGATTGAAACACTTCTGATAGGAAACACTTCCACCTTTCGGACATTAAGAATTTTCGATAAAAATTGCGTTGGGAACTCGCAAGACCAAATCCACACCTCGGTTCTTGCAACTGCATCGGCTGCATCGGTTGCAAGGGCTGCATCGGTTGCATCGGGTGCATGGGTGAAAAAATGATTGATGCGGATTGGGTTTCAACGTTTCCTTCATGTTGCCATGTTCAATGCGCATTCAATCTCCAGGTGATTGCCAGATATTGGATGAAATTGGTGTGTTTTCTGAAAAAAATATGTTTTTTCCTGCTGAACATGTTTTGTTACCGTTTCATCCAGATACATGAACGTTCTTCAGCAATTGAAAATTGGGGTCACTGCACTACACTGCCAATGCACATCACACAATCATTTGCGACGATGCAAACAGAAACAAGACTAACCGTTCAAAGTCCGTCAATCTGACAAAACAAGATATGTAAGTATGTTGGACAGCTGGCACCAAATCAAACCAAACAGAATGACAACGAAATTAAAATGTGTCATGCGGAAAAACTGTATGAACAACCATTATACATGACGAATTCAGTTTATTGTGCATAAACAAAAAATACAATTCCACGGAAAAAATACTCCACAATGAAGCGAAAAACATTGCTAGACAAAACATGTTTGAATTGAAATCTAGGTTTGCAATGGATTGCTTTAAGTCAACCATATGCCACACTTGACAGTCATGCCTTTCTGGGTTCACCAACAGTTAAGTTGACAGAGCCCATGGTCTATTGGGTGTTCAAAAGTTTGTCAGTTTTTTTTCATGTCCCATACATGTTTTTTGCATACTGCGCGTGTTCTACACGGACATGCTACGTTTTTGCGAACTTTTCTGGAACCGAAAGCGCCTCAGAGTACATACCTGAAATGCACTACTCGATTTGTGCAATGTCATCTGCACAGCTACACAACTGATGTGAACATGTACATGAATCCAAATGCGGAAATGACTTTCACCCCGCCTTGGAACCTAAATGTTTTAGAGTTCCACTAAAGCTAAGTCCCCTCAGGCCAGTTGTGTGGCCTTCGAGTTTCCATTTTTGGAGACTTTGTGAAGGGTGAAGTTCTTTTGCTTCAAACTATCGGCACTGGAGCCAAATGATGGATCTCGTCTCCACCACTTGACACTCTTCTGTGGTGCCTCTTGCTTTGCTATCGCTCAGAATTCCTGTAGTTCTGTCTCCTCTTCGGGCTGTGTCACATCTCGGCGATTTCTTGGGCCGTAGTGTATGTCCGCCCAGAGGTCAGGGTCTGATGCCTCAGACTGTCCACAGTTCATATACCTTTGTGCTCTCTCTGCTGGTGTCTCTTCAGCCATCTCCTCGTCAGACTTGGAGCTCTCTGGCACTGCCTCACGAAGTGCTCCTCCAAGCTGTCCAATCAACTTAGTCAGCTCCTCGTAGCGATCATACTCGAGGAGGGACATCATGGCTCTGAAAGCTTTGTCAGCTTCCACCAGTTGGTAGTGCCGCTCGTTTTCTCCAAGTCCATGGCAAGGTGACTCATCATCCTCGCTGAGGTTGCATGTGTCTGAAATCACCTCAGCCATGCGGATCCTCTCTTCGGGGCTGCATGTAGTGTAATGAGCCACACAGCTCAGCAACCATGTTCGGCTTTGCATGTGTTTCATGCTTTGCCCAATGTTGCCTCTCCTCTGTGCTCTTTCCAAACGCCCGTTGATCCTCCGCAAGGCTACCAGCAGGCTCCCTTCAAGTTGCAAGTCTTCATTGACCTGAGGTTCAGCGTCTGCTGTATGTGCCGCCAAAGTCGTTGGCGGGAAGTACACTGGTCTCACAGGCTGTCTCAACCAATACCATGTGTAACCACCAAGTGCTAAGGACCATGCAGTCAAGACCAAAGTTGTGAAAGGGATCATACTGCTGTTGTTGGAGATTTCGATGTCGCCGAAGTCGCATCCACAAAGGGTCATACCAGCTACTCCATGCACAAAAGCTGTGGCAATACCTGTCGGAACTCCAGAATTCAGAGCTATGTCATGGCCACCAGTGTTCATAGTGGGTGAGTCCTCATCACTTGACAAATCCGTGATGTCCTCAAGGACCTGTTTGATGTGGCCCCTGGTTTCTGCTGTGGCCACCTCCAAAGCAGCCAACATGTCACTCAGAATACCCTGTCGGGCCAAGTACTGATTTGTCTTCGTGGGATCCTGTTTTGTAACAGCCTTTTCCAGCCTCCTCTCACATCGCTCATAAAGCCAGTGAACCATGCCTTCTTCGGACCAAGCTGGATGGTCAGAGGCATCGCTGTTCGAGCTGTTGTCCATTGGATCCTCTGTGGCACCAGTGCTCGAAGTCTCAGCATCGCTCACAAAATCAAAATTCTTCAGGAGTTCACCAGGGCGGATGGCCAGGTAAATGTAGCCAATCAAACTCAGCAGCCATGTGAACAAAAACACGGCGTTGAAGAAACATCCTCCAGTTGCCAAAGAATCCATGGCGTCAGAACACCCTTGAAGCTGAGTAAGCACGCTCAAGGCGCTAATCAAAAGGTTGATCTGTGCCTGGCTGTGGCCCTGTTGTCGTTGATTTGTGAGGTGCCTGAAAATGTTTCCTGGGTCATGTGATCCTTCGAGATTGTTTCCTCTCCAAATACCCAAAAAATAACACAAAGATTCGAGCCTTGCTGCGCTGAGTCTCTTGGTGGCAATGTCTGCAGGGTTGAGTGCTCCCATCACTGCTCTCACCAGTAAACGCTTTTCCATGACTAAGTCCTGCATCCACAAGATCCTGCATGACAAATGCCTCAAACGACCTACACCTTTGCGAGAAAGAACACCTCTCGCCGCTGATGAATCCAGATACAAACACATCATGAAGTGACATTGGAGAAGCCATGAAAAGATGGTTGTGATCAAGATCGCATCCATGGTGGCTGACGCAGCTGCATATGTTTCTGACTCTGCGCTCGAAAGTGACACGATTTTCTGTGTCCTGGAGCTTGAATAGGCGAGACATCCACCAACATAAATTGCAGCTCCTGAGACAGAGCGTCTGGTCTCCCTGTCCGCTGCCCAGTCAGCATCGCTGAAAATTTCCACCATCGGCTCCTCGTTCTCGTACTGCTTGAAAACACCAGCATGCAAACCTTTCCATTTCAAAGACATACACTGCTCGGAGTGTCCTGCCATGTAGCCAACCAGGTGTTTCAACACCATCAGGGATTTCTCAGTTGGCTTCGAAGAGAAAGTGGATAGATATCGAATCACATACTGGCATTGCGGCAGGTCAGCTGACAAGTAAAGAAGAATCCCCACGCAAGTGCGGTACACTGAAGCATCATGGGATCCAAGTTCTGGGGTCTTGTCCGAGATCTCCATCTCGCTGTGACCTGGGGTCTTCTTGCTCTGAAGTCTCCTTGAGAGACACAAAAGCTTGCACAGCTGATCGAGGTGCTTGTGATGCACTCGAATCACCATCCTGCCATCATCCAGCAGTTCATGGGTGCGCTTGAGAAAAGTGACCTCATCTCCAGGCTTTGACATGAGTTCAATGGAGATTGCATACTTCGATTGCAGTGAAGGCACAAGCTGCTTCATCACGGCGTCTCGGCTGCCAACGATGAGAAGGTCATCAACATGGACCATCAAGAAGCAGTTGCCAGTCTTGCTTCTCAAGATGCTTGGATAGGCATCCAGCTCTGTCATCTCAAGCGTGCACTCCTTGACAAACTTCGCAAGGTCTCTGTACCAGAGTAAACTTCCGTCTCTTTGCCCAGGCAAAACACGGCCTAAGCTGTATTGCACGGAGTTTCCATTGGCATCTGTGCATGTCACTCGAGTGTCCACCTCTTGTTTCACTGTGAGAAAGGCGTCCTTGACGTCTATTGATGCCATAATGCAATCCTGGTGTTCTCTCATGGCCAAAAAGCAAATTGGTAAGATTCTGCTTGCCAAGCTTGAAGTTGCAGGGGAAAACAGTGATTCCCTGTCTGGTTGCAGCCAAGTATATTCACGTGCCACCAGTCGACTGCGGCGAAGCCAAATTGCCTCACCTGAGTCATTCTTTTTCTCTCTCCAAGTTCTGACGAATCTCGTGCTCAGGGTTTCGCAGTCTGCTGGCAAGTTGTCCTGTTTCAGGACTTCAAGTCCAACCAACCGTTGAACTTCGACTTGGTCTGCAATGGCATCAAGCTTTTGTAGATCCTCTTGTGACAATTCTGGCTCATGTGGAGTGTATGGGAAGCTAAGCTCCTTGAGACACGCATTCATGTCGATTTCAACCTCATACGGATCTTCATCCAAGTTCAATTCATGCTGAATCAAAGCATCCACATCATCGGAATGAAGAGGGACATCAGGCTCGATGTCTAGGTGCTCAATGTTGCGAATGGCACCCAGAAGATTGACACCACCACCGCTCTCATGTTTGCTGGCTTTTGCTGGGCTCATCATGTTTTCAACCGGAGTATCATCAAGTATATCACCAGCTACTGAGACAGGTGTCTGTGGCACTACATCACCATGAGGCAAGCTATCACCATATCCAGAGAAATGCAAACGTTTGGCCTCTGCGCCAACATCATCATGTTCAATTGCATGTTTCGAAGATCCACTAAACGAACCTTCAGCTTGTGGCATTCCTGAATCTGGCCTTGCACTCGATGATGGGCCACCACTTCCAAGCTCTCCACTCGCAGGGGTTGATGTTGAAACCTCTGCTTGTCCAGCTTCATTTGAACTTTGAATCCCCGCCTCGGCTGAGATCGCCTTAGGGTCTGCATCCTCATATGGATGTGCACGAGCATAGTCTCTGACAGCTAAAGCTTCCTTGTCACCAAGCTGCAAATTGGCTCCAATTGCGACACCAAAGGGTTGTGATACCCTTTTCGAGTAAACAAGACGATGACCAAGATTTGCATATCCGTACTCCCATGGACAGGCTGTCAAATCACCAAGTTGTTCCAGCTGAAAAGAAGTAGGAAGTCGCCTGATACTTCTTGTGACAAAGATTCCTGTTGCAGTTCCAATCACATGACAGTCATTCATCATGGTTTTTGTAAGCCAAACTCCCTTGGACCATTTTGGAAGTCCTTTCAAGTCAGTTTTGAGGTAACCCAGCACCGTTTCGCCAAAAAGAGCGAGTTTGCCTGAGTAAAGACGACCTGTTGATCGCTCATATCCAGTTGTCTCTTTGTTCACAACAAAGTGATTGTGCAACCAACTGCTGTGCACAACTGCCCAAGCATAGACTGGGTGAAGACAACCGAAAACTGGTTTGGTGCATCCTGTGGCTTCCTCAATCTGTTGAACAAGCAAGTTGGCCTTTGTGCGCAAAACATGCACCATGGCCTCTGCTGCGCCATTTGCCTGGTGGTCACCTGTTGGTGTGGGTTCCAAGTGAACCACAATTCTCAGGCCAGCGCAGGCTTTTCGAACTGCTTCTGCAAGGGACGTGGTGCTTGGCTCACAGTCACACTTCAGGCTGAGCTCTGTGTGACCTGTTTGAACGATGAACCTGCTCATCTCTGTGACCAAGTATTGGAAACTGCGACCGCCCTTCTGTTGTGTGGGCAGTGCTGCACACATGTTGGTATCTCTGTCATGTATCACCAGTATAGTCAGTTTATCTTCTTCTCCCTTCATACGACTGCAGTACCCGAAATCAAAGCTCACAACGCTATGACCAACACCTTCATGAGTTTGACGTCGATGTGGGTCCTGTCTGGCCCTGTTGGTGACGCAAAGACTACACCATTCCTCATATGGCTCATGTGTCAAAGCATGAACATCTTTGATTTGCTCACTTGGTTCTTTCGGCTTACGCTGTGGGATTGCATGTCTCTCTGAACCTTGTTTCAGCTTGGCCTCGACGCTCTGTGAAGTGATCAGGCTCTGAGTTCTCATGTGCTCAACCATGCGCTTGAAACATTCTTTCTTGGAACCCCTTTTTGACAGACCAAGTGCAGTGCAACCAGCTCTCAAAGCACGAAGACTGGAATCTGGGGTGTAGACAACACCTTCAACTGCAACTGAAGAGTCCTCCTCGAAGGGGATGATGCGGTCTTCATCCAAAGGCTCGGCCTCCTCAGTGTCTGCCGGGGCCTCATGCACAGGTTGAGGTTGATCCTCTCCATCCTGCATCTCATCCGCAGGAATGTCATCATCAAAAATTGGTCTCTGATCACCTTCAATCAAGCGAAAACCAAGATCCTCTGAAGGAACACAGTGGGCATGTGCCAATGTCATGACCTCCAAAACTGACTCTGGGTCGTAAATGGCACCTTCAAGTTCCTCCAGCTCACTGACAGGTTCAGAAAATTCGAGCAATTCCCAGCCACGACCATCACGAAAAACCAAAGTTGTACGCAACCACATCATTTCTGTTGATGGACAAACTGTCGTGTCAACAAAGTTAGGCCTTCGAGTTCTCAGCACAAAAAGCTGTGGGTTGATCCTGTTCCAGCCTGGCAAAAGTCGCCTAAGCACAGGTTCCAAGTGAATTGCCCTGATCTCACCTGGAGTTGTGTCAGATGCCTTAGGGCTGAAACAATCATCCTGAGAAACCATTCTGATGCAGCCTTGTACGCACAAAGAGTTTCTGCGAAAGTTGACACTGATACTTTTGTCATTCTTCACAAGGTAAATACCATCACTCAAATGGTGAAGCTACCAACCAGCACGGACGATGTGTCCCATAGCAAGAAGTGGGCTGCTGATGTTGGCGATGATGAACCTCTCACGCAGGATGACACCATTCCCTAAGTCAACAGTTGCAAGACGTGTGTCACGAATGTCAAGCTTGCCACCCTGTGCATCAATGTAATCCTGAAGTCCAACATCATTGCAAGATTCACCAACATCACCATATGAAAGTGGTAAAGCACTTGTGTCAGCACCGGAGTCAAGAATGATCTCTGAGCTGAGTTCACCTGCTGCTGACATCATGCGCACGTGGTTCCTGAGAGGTGAATCGATGTTGCAACCTGGAGCACAAGTCCATGAATCATCCTGATCAGTGCAAGACATGTCAAACTGTTGAGAACATGCAAGCTGAATCACACGAATGGAACTATGAGCTGCAGGCTGAGAAAACTCTGTCAAATCTTCGATGACCACTGAGCTCTCATTGAAAGCTACTCGATTCACATTCCCACCAGACCTGTATGATGTCGCACTTGCTGAGTGCTGAGCAGTCGAATGATTGCTGGGGCTCGATGCTGCCCTCTGTGTTGAATCCTCATTCTCCACCTGTCGAACTTGACCAGAAGCTTTGTCAGCTTGAAACTTCCGACAATCGCGCTTCCAATGTCCATGGCCACCGCAGT